CCCTTAGGATAGGTGCATTACTTACGGTATTAGGCTCATTTATTTAAACTACTGGGGATATGAGATCGGTTCGGCCTTGTATTTTCAAAAATTTAGAATATTATTTTTCCTAAATTATGTATGTAGTTAAATTAAAACGGCTGTTAGGATATCCATCCTAGCAGGCGACAACTTAACAGCCGACAACTTAATAACCCCTCAACTTTTTGTCCCGACATTTAAATACTTATATTTATTTTTAGAAATTGTGATGACATTTTCACCTAAACTTCATTAACTTTACAAATTGGCCACTTGTGAGGTTAACATCTGTCATGAAACATATTGACCTGGGAGGGTTATGATTTCACTTAACTTGTGAATGCCATGCTGACCTTTAAGATGAAGTGTGGTGCTTAGTTCACTTATTAGCGAAAATAGATCGGGAGAATTTTTTTGGGCGTAAAAGTGATGTTTCTAGGGTAACAGGCTAAATTCTTATCATTTTATTTGGAGTTTGGAACTAAGTTTCCCTAGTAGGTCCTTTAGAGAGGGCACAGTGGGTAATATAGAAATGAGAGGTCAGAATCTATTTAGCACTACTACACTAGCTGGAACAAACTTCAGGCTAGCCGACATTCTTTACAAGCACCGGGAGGGGGTAAAGAATAGGTATGCTACTATTTGTCACAATACCAAATTTGATTTTAAACATTCAAATTTTACACTGATTATCATCTCTATGCAAGGGGAAATATCTTTTTATAACATTTGAAACTTTCTTTTATATAATATTAGTTTGCATGTTTTTAGTTTGCATTTCCTTTCTGCTTAGAATCAAATCCTGCATAAATTTAGTTTTTGTCTATTGTAAAAATTTTGACATTTATCTCTTATAAGTTGTGTTTGCAGTTTATAATAAAAACTTTTTTAAGTCATTATTAAAAAGTTAAAGCTTCCATGTGGGATCGATACTGAGGTTTTTAAAGAAAACACTATATTACTTGAAGCGATACGTATACTTGCGTAATACCGCTAGTGTAAAAAAATCATCTCTTATTTTTTAAATTATTTTATTTGTTCACACTAGCCACTAAATATATTTCGGGCCAAGTTTTTGGCAATCTCTTGAAACATAGAAATCTAAGTAATTATAGATCGGGTCAATGAATATAGTGTGTCCTCACAAAAGTGAGGTCAACAAACACAATTAAACTTGAACATGGATCATAACTAAGGATACCTATAAACCTAGCCGACCAATTAGTTTGTCTTAGGCCTAGACTGGGTTGTATAAAGAACAAGATGCTAGGTTGCCTCACTTTCTCTTTCTTTTGGGGAGTATAGTGGTACACAGTTGCACCCGCCTTGCTTGGGCTTTAGTTATTTTTGGTTTATTTTAATTTTTTATAGTATTACTGATTGTGTTTATTAGTGTTTGCAATATTAGCACTGCATGTTTTTTTTTTTGGTTTATTGGCAGTGTGTTGGCCTAGATATTTGTGCGCGATAGACTCATGGGAAATAATTTTATTGCCCCCACTTAATAAGTTAATTTTTTTTTTCAAAATAACAATTTGAAATAAATTTAAATGAAACAAAATTAAAAATGAATTCACATTGTAGTTTAAAAAATCAAGTTAGAACAACTAACGTCTAGTTTGATTACATGAGATGATTAATTCATAAACAATTTTTATTTCCATTATTTATCTTCTGGCCCTCACCTATTGCAAGTAAGATCTAACAACAAATCACTTTAAAACACAAAAAACATGAATTAAAATCACCTCTAAGTAAAACTTGTTCACTGAATCATATCATAATTTGAAATACAAAGTGTAGCTTGTTGGCTCACCATACATATCACACACACTCTAGATGATTTTGTTAAGTTATCGACCCTATAATCTTGGTTAGGTTGTGATTTTCTATGTGTTGGTGATATTTTGCATTGCCCATTAGCAAAATACTAGGACAACTCGTGCGCTAGACTAGATGCTCGGAGGACTACTTTAGTTGTTTAAACACTTATTTTTAATATAAGGCAGTATCTAGCAAGACAACCACAAAAAATAATAAAAGGAATATAAATGCTATGCCATTTTTTTTCAGGTGTTAAAATCATGCCCCTAAGCATGGTCTCGTAGGACAAGGGACTTGTCACTACAATGCTAGGTTCATTTATACTTTTGTGTTTATTATGCTTGTGTTGTGTTATTTTGTGCTAGTCCTTTTCTATAGGGGCTTTAGTAAATGTAGGATTTACTTTCTTGCAATTGAGTCTGTAAGTAAAATTAGGCGAGTTTGTTAATCCTTATTTGGCTATGGTTTATGGTTGGTCTAAATTGGATCCATTTGACGATATAGTGAGGACAAATCTCAACTCAACTCAATGATAGTGTGAACTTTGACTCAAAGTTAGGATGAACCTTACCTTAAAGAGTGGATGAAACTCATTCAAAATAAAGGATGACCATCATACTAGAAGGAAGAAACACAAATAAACTTGAACTTGGATCAGAACTAAAGATACCCATAAATTTAGCCAACCAAACAACTTGTCTTAAGCCTAGACTGGGTTGTAGAAAGGGCAAGATGCTCGGTAAATTCAATTTTCTATTTCTTTTGGGGAGTATAGTGGCATCTAATTGCCCCAAACTTTCTTGGGCTTTTGTATTTTTTGGTTTATTTTAATTTTTTAGTAGTTTTTATTGATCGTGTTTATTTGTGTTGGGATGATTAAAACTACATGTTTTTTTTTGTTTTATTAGCAGTGTGTTGGCCTCGATATTTGTGTGTGATAGACTCATAGGAAATAATTTTTTTTTACTTCCACTTAATAAGTTAATATTTTTTTTCAAAACAATAATTAAAAATGAATTCACACTATATTTAAACAAAAACAAAAGTTAGAACAAAATTTAAAATGAATTCACAGTGATTACACGAGAAGAATAATTTATAAATATTTTTTATTTCCATTTCTTTTCTTCGAGCTTTTACCTATTGCACGTAAAGGAGGATTTGGCTAATAATAATTACCACCATTATAGGGTGAAATATATTTTTCGTACTCGACTTGGCCTAAAGAACTTTCACGTATGCGTAACTAAGGATTGCATTTCCCTTTACACAACCTATTTAGTACCAAACATAACATCAAAATAAACTAGATCAATTAACACTTAAATTTTTAATATGTTAAAATAATTGCATTAATTAGATGCATTTCATACTAGATAGACTTAGGCCCCTTAATTTTCACAATCAAGTCATAAGACTTACTTAACCTCTTTCTAATAAATAACAACTTAGCCTATCTTATATTTCATTTCCTGGTTCCCATGATTTTGTAACGTTAGAAGGGTTTAGTTGTCAATCTTTTTCGAACAGTATTAATCAAACTTGATTCAGTCACTACAAATCCATCTTCTTGCATTTTGTCAGACTAGGTTCGGGGCTCTACTTGGTTAATAGACCTCACCTTTAAACTTAGGCTCTAAGGTAGTTCGCCTCGCTACGATATAACCTCTCTCGTCCTTGGTTTTCTCACGATATGGCGTTATTGAGATATAACTTCTAACTTTCTAATAAAACAACTAACTCAAACAAATAAATCTTTCAATTTTAAAATTAATAAAATCCAACATATTATGGTAGAAGTGTTGTTGATTTTCTCTGTATCCATGCACTTTCAACATTTTCTCCCTTAGACTATAAAAAGAACTATTCCAAATTAAACTATCTCAATTGAAAATTTCAAATAAAAATTATGGAAACTCAAGCTTTAATTCTCGAAAACTTAGCCATAACCTTAATCAAGAATATTCATAAGAGATTCTTTCTCCTAATATGTAATTTACTATAGGAGATTTGATCTTATAGAAGTTTGTAACCACGATTAATATAAACCCTATCTAATTTTTCATTTATGTAGAAGAAAAATTTATTGATTACCACATATGCATCAAATTTGAATGAATTTTTTTTTCTATTAGTGACCAGGTTCATTGTATAATGGTATTTTTATGTTTCTAAATATTATATTACTCTCAATGTCGTATTTGACCATAAAAAAATAAATATTTTTAAAATCCATATGGTATCATCAAAATTAAACAAACAACAACATAAAAAAATCTTAGAATAATAATTGATGAATGCTTCATCCCTGCTGTAATCAACACTAGAAAAATTTGGATGCAATAAAAAACAATCTTTAAATATCAAAAACTCCAAACCACGTCAATAAAAATGATTCATATAATTGATTGAGCACATGAATGTAGGATATTATCATACTTCTCCATAAAAAAAAAAAAATGTAATCACAATTAGAGAAGTTATATTATATTTAAAAACACCCATCTTGATGTTCAATTTATTGGGGGAAGTTCATCTTCTCTCCCCAACATCCCGCAATCGAGAACACTAACACTAAAATAGAAGAAAAGATTACATAAGGAGTTCTGATTCAGTTTTATGTGCGGATGATAGTATTTATATGTTATTGGTATATTATGGTGTTATGTTTCTAAAATAGCATTAAAACACTATCAATGACACCTTCAATAACATCATTCGTACCTAATTCGGAAGTTGGTCATTCATATGCAATATTTTTACCTAATTTAGTTGTGCTTAATGGTCAAATACAAAAAAAAAAAAAAAATTAAAGTAAAAAAAATAAAACTATTTTCTTTACCTTGCTTCTCATTTTCAAAACTCAAGGTAACCTCAAATATCTCATCTTTTGAAGATATCAGTGTTCTCGCCCCATAAAAATTTCTATATTTAAAAAAAAAATGATTTATTTATTTTTTCAATCTCCCTTGTAATGGTTATGTTGGTCAAATTTGATCCAGGTAAGGTTTCCGTTGGCTTGTGTGTAAATAAACCAATTCGGATGCCTCAAAAAATAAATAAATAAATAAATAAATAAAAAAAATAAAAATAAATAAATAAATAAATAAATATAT